TTTTTAGGGCTCGGTGGTGAAGATACTGGTGTTGGAGGCAGCGGGTGGCGTGAAGAACATGGAAGTTGGGGAAAGTGGGTTGGAGGTGACAGTGGGGCACAATAGAAAGAGTTTTGGGACAAGGGCTGTAGGGGGGGGGTGGCGTTTGCGGTACTGCTCCTCTTTCTGCATGGCTACCAGCTCCTGGATAGCATCTGCTTGGTGCTCCAGGATGCTTATGAGCCTATCAGTGCTTTGCCGCTGGTGCGCTGCGTTTTCCTGGCTGATCCTGCTTTCTCTCTCCCTCCAGTTCTGTGGTTTCCATTCTCTTTAATAGATTGCCGCATCACTTCTTGCAGCATGTCTTCCTTGCTTTTTTGCAGTCTCTTCCTGAGTCTTTGCAGTCTCTGAGCAGGCGATAAGAGGGACGGCTGAGGTCTCAAGGTTGATGCAGCTGTATAGGCAAAATGCAACATTTAACAGAGGCAGCATTGTTTATACCAGACAGAGTAATGATTCCCCCCCACACTTAAGGAGTAGAAAATACACAGGGTCTACACAATAGCATAATTTTCCCGTCCGAAACAGAGCGCACACATCCCACGGGAGCCTCAAAATGGTGAGTAAGGGGGACTGATTGTTTCAGGGCTGCACTGTCCTCTGGGTTTCTGTGCCTTGGGGAGAGCCAACAGCTTCAGGGAGCACCTACACTGAACACTGTCCCAACATTTTCCACAGGAGTTCGTCCTGGACGATATCTCCAATGCGGCTTCCGCCCTGGCCCATATGTAGCTTGCCTGTGTGCAGCAATGGTCCCGCCGCCCCTCGCGGCACAGTGGCGCGGACACGTTAGCCTGGCTGGGACAAGGACCACGGTGGCTCTCCCGATAAACCTGTGCAAGCGCATTGCACACGTTCTGGATGAGACATTCGAGGAGATTACCGAGGCCGATTACCACGATGTGATAAACCATATCAATGCACTATTCCGCATCTAGGCATGCATGCCTAACCCTCCTCTCCCAAAGAGCCCGCACCGAAAAAATTCCTTCCCGAAAAAAAACCCGCTTACCGGGAACCTGCTCTTCTGTTTGTCCTCCACCAAGTACCGGCCGCTGCGACTGGCTACCTTCCTCCTGGCTCGAGAAGAGCTCCTGGCTGCATGGCTCCAGGGATTCCGGGGTGTCTCCATCCGGCCCACCACCATCACTCCCGTTTTCCTCCTCTTTCTCCTCCTCCCACCCCGCCCCCACCGGCTCTGAAGTATCTATGGTGATGCTCGGAGTGGAGGTGAGGTTAACCCCAAGTATCGCAACCAGCTCTTTGTAGAATCGGCAGGTCGCGGGGGGAGCACCCGAGCGGCCGTTTGCATCACGGGCTTTGTGGTAGGCACTCCGCAGCTCCTTCGCTTTAATCCTGCACTGCAGGGTGTCCCGATCATGGCCCCTTTCCATCATGTCCTTTGATACCTTCCCGAAGGTATTGTAATTCCTACGGCTGGAGTGCAGCTGGGACTGGACAGCTTCCTCCCCCCAAACACTGATGAGGTCCAGCAACTCGCCATTGCTCCATGCTGGGGCTTGCTTGGCGTGTGGAGGCATGGTCACCTGGAAAGATTCGCTGATAGCACTCCACGCCACGCCGGGCTGAGCAAACAGGAAGGGGATTTTTAAAATTCCCGGGGAATGTAAAGGGTGGGTCACATGGTTGGTTACCTGAGGCCAGGGCAGTAGAGTTTGAACTGATGACCAGAGTGGCTAGAACAGGTATTGTGGGATACTGCCGAATAATTCTGGAGGCCATTCACAGCGCATTGGGCTGCCACACTAGCGCTGCAGCGGCAGCGCAATACTCTCTATTCCTCTCAGAGAGGTGGAGTACATGCAGCGCTGCAACCACGGAGATACAGCGCTGCAAATGCCTTGCCAGTGTGGACGGGGAGTGAGTTACAGCGCTGGGGGAGCCTTTACAGCGCTGTAACTCGCAAGTGTAGCCAAGGCCTCAGTGTAATCCTCTTGTGGAGAGAAGATTATCACTAGTGCATATGTAAACATGCCTGTTACATGGCTAGTGCTTAAAAATCATGCTTCCTCAGGAAGGTGGGAGGTGATGGAAAAGAAGCAGCTTTACTTATTGAGCAATAATAGTGACTAAGCTGTCAGCCTTTGATGTTGAATTATACTCTATAATAGTCTGTCCCCAACCTACAAATGCATTACAGATGATCTTCTGTTTAATTATGTTTTAGTACAAAGACAACATTTTCTGCATCTATATACTAATGTATCAGTTTTGCTTCTATTATGTTTTTTTTTAATATGTATTATGATGATCTGAAGGTCTGAGAGGATGGGAATATAAAGAGAGACAATGTGGTTGACTACTGACTTTACATATTTAATCTAATTGTTGATTAAAGGAGTGCTGACCACATTAGGGCTACAAAATTAATATCCTTACAAGTAATGAGTCACAATTCTGTTTCAACATTCTTTCTTGTTTCCACAAAAACTAAAGGTGATTTTTGCTGGCTGCCTTCATGTTTCATGTCAGAATGCTTCTGTGAAAACAGCAAATGTTAGCCTGGAGCAAATATATGAAAACACGAGGTTATAACTCCAAGGTTGCGTTTTGGTGTTTTTTGCAATTGTTATTAAAAAAAAATTGCTTATGATAGTGGGGAAAGTGAAAACGTTTCCCTGTTATCAAAATTACACTACAAATGAGAAGAATCTCTAGTTTTTCCACACAAATATTTTTGAATAGTGAAATATATTACGATCACATAACGAGGAATCACTTCACATCACTGAAAAGAGAGCTGCCTTCAGTGTTGAAAATATAAATTCAACTGTGCATAGAAACACTACAGCATAGTTTAGGGCCGGAAGTAAAGAATTATGTCAGATCCAATTGGTATAGTAAGGAAATTTAGGTGGGTAAAATGCAATTACCCATGATGGAATTTGACCAAGAGACTAGTATTAACATCCCTACTGTTCTGAAAAGTGCAGTAGAATCTTTTTATGGACCACAAGCAGTCAGGAGATAAGAGTTAGATCTTCTTCAACACATGAATCAGCAATTAGATTAAATACTCCATATTACTGTTTTCATATGGTAAAAATAATTTATAAAGTGAACACCCTAAATAAATCCCTTGTGCAGCATGCTCCTTCAAGACACAGCATTTATTTACTGAGTTTGGAACAAATAATTCATTTGGATTTGTAGGTATCCATAGTCTCACTACCACGATTCTACTATGTTCCCTCACCAGTGAAGTCAGTCTGCCATCACTTTTCAATCTGTTATGCGTGCTGAATTAAATTTAACTTTAGGAAAATAAAAATGTATTTACTTCTACTATTAAAACCGAAAGACATCAAAATAAACAATATTCATGGGCTAATTTAAGCTGATATAAGCATGGAAATTCAGCATACTTACTCATGGCATGACCAGATCATTGCCTCTGGAGTTAAATTTCACTGGAAGGGATCTAGGGAGATGAGAACTGCATAATCCTCCCTTGTGGCTGGATTACCTTTTCAGCAGATTTCCCATGGGATGTTGGAGGTAGAGAGGGGACAACACTCCCTCCCTCTAACATCTCATTTCTGGGCCAACCCCTCATACTCTTCCATTCACTGAGTCCTGGATGTATAAGGGTGCTCCAACTGGTCCAAGGCAAGGTGGTGCCATGCAGTTGGTTCAATCTTCTGCATGTAGATCTAAGAGATATGACCTCATTCTTTTATTAACCTATCACATTGTGCCTATTGGTTCACAGGCTTACATGACACTTAAATCCTATGTGATAAAATTAACTTCTCTTCTGAGATTGTTGCAACATTGAGCCATCCCGGGGAGTCGTGAACAGAATGGCAGCCTTAAAGCTAACTTACATTATTTGTTTGTTTTTTGTTTGACCCTTGATGATGATGATACACTGTAAAAATGTGTGTAGCCCACTCTCAGAGAACCTCTGGTCTTCAAGAGTGGAAGAGTCCACTTATTTCTCCCTTTTAAGACTCTGTAGATCACTTTGCAACCAAAGAGTCTTGGGTTCTCTGTGCACCTTTCTCTCCTTTCCTTCAAGAGCAGGGAAAGCTCTGTGACTCCTGTTGCTGAAAGCAGACACCCTGCAGTCAGCTCCCTTCCTTCAAACACTGGGTCTCTCTGGGCTCAGATCATGTGTCTGGGCAGACCCAACCAAACATTCAAGTCATGGAATTGGCTGCCTTGGCCTGTCAGTAAGGCTGATTATCCAGCTTGCATAGGCTGTTCATGTCTCAGGCACATAGGTATGTAGACCTTTGGGCTTCTGGGAATCTTTCTCTTCTCTGGAGTCTCTAAGAAGGAGGCGGGCTACATGTATATTTAATTTGTATATATTTCCTCTTTCACCATTTTTTATTCTTTATTGTTAAATGTACTTTGTATCTTTATAATCCTTCTTTGTTTTTTGCCTTTTCCCTTCCAGCATCCTCCTAGATGAAGAGGGTCACATTAAGATTACAGGTATGTAAAGAACAGCATTTGATCACTGAAACGTAATCTCTACAGGCCTGCCAACGCACTGCATTGGTTTCCATGCATCAAGCTGTGATCTTGGGTCAGTAGCTGGAACGAGGTTGCTAGAGAAAACCTTGGGGCTGCAGGAAGTGGGATTGATGATTCAGTAGCTGACATTATTCCCTCTGGTCATTGCTGAACCATTGGCCTGGTGTAGCATAAGGGCCCTGTGCATGCAGGAAGTACCATTTTCCAGATAAAATTGGGCTCCTGGCTGTGGCTTCCAGCTCCAGACTTCTAACCCAGGAGTCCCTGCAACCACACCCTTCTGGTATGGCTTCTAGCTCCAGATTAGACTGCAACCAAAAGATGCCTAGAATGGACATCCTTTGTTGCCTTGGAGCTGCGGTGTGGGCATCATTGCGTGCTTGTCCACTTGTGATGATTAGAAATTCCATGTTATTTTTTGCAAGAATTGGGTGTTAACTCCAATGTCCTGTGCAAATTCCAACTGGTGTAACTATATTCTCTTATCCAAATTACCTCTGCCATCTTGGGGACGTATCTTCAGAAGTGTGTGGAAAAATGCATGTGCCCAACTTCAGGGTACAAATCCCTACACGCAAGCAGGAATTTTGCTTGTGTATAGCCACGGGCAAATGTAACTTCCAACTTCAGAGTATGTTTTGGTGCTTATGTGCACATAAACTGCACATTACGTGAATGTGCACTTCTGTAAATATTCAATTCTCAGTTGGATTCAGTATTCTGCATCTCTGTCGAAAGCTGTTGGGTTTCATTTGAATGAAAAATGATATTTAAATGTGAGATAATGTTTATAATCATAAACCAAGATCTGACAAGAGTTCTATCTATTTACAAAATATGTCTAGATTTTGGCCTGAGCAAGGAGGCCATTGACCATGACAAGAGAGCGTATTCATTCTGTGGGACAATAGAGTACATGGCCCCAGAGGTGGTCAACCGGCGAGGACACACGCAGAGTGCAGACTGGTGGTCCTTTGGTGTGCTAATGGTAAGGATGAATTATGTTTCTTTTTTCATTCTTTTGGCAGCTGTCTGGATATTTCAGGCTAAGAGGGCTCACTTTCAGCAATTAATGGACTGGTAGTAAGGAGGACATAAATGGGTGATGATTGCTTTGATCGTTCACATGGCGTCAGCAGTAGGAAACTAATTACTTCTGACATTATATGAGATGACATATGGCCACTAATTTCTCACTCCCTCATTTCAATTCTCTCATAAGGTGGCTGTTATAATTGATTGCCATGAGTCATGATAACCTTATTCCAAAGAGATAGGCAGAACAAGATTAGAAAAATACAGTCACCCCAGGAATAAATAGGATCACTGTTTTGTTATTTACTAGCTTGGTTCTTGAGTGGAAGCAATTCCCCATGTGGGATCTGTCCATAGGATGTCCCTGACCTCTTAGAGAAACTTAGAGAAAAGGGGGTCATTGATAATAATGTCTACATCTGTGAAATGAAGGCTTCTGTCTTACTAGTATATACTAAACCTTCCAAGGTATTTTATTACATACTTATTTTTGGAGCATACTTTTCATGGTCTGCTTCCACTAAAGGAAAATTCATTATTGATATATTTGCCACATATGATGTCACTCTTTCTTCCTTTTATTAATTGTCTCCTTTGCATCATTATAGTGCTCAGTATTTTTAATCTTTTTTTCTCCATTTCTTTCTCTCCTACTCCCCTCCTCGGTGACTTAATATATTGGAAAAGATAATGGAATACAGAAAGAGATGAGATAGAGATAGTAAAAGCATCTTAACTGTAAGCTGGTGCTTAAGCCTTTGAGTGCTGCCAGAGACACCTCAGAGAAAAAAAAGCTTTAATCACTTTAACCTTTTTTCTTTTAATAATTAATGGATTGAAGCAGTAAAAAGGGATTTCTATAAGCAAAAAGTATGGGAGGATATCTGCTGCTAGCATTTTCCTCTTTTTGTATCTCCTTTATGCGGTATTTTCCTTGAACTGTAATCAACATACTCTGGTGGAGAAGCTGTTCTTAAGATAATCTAAGGATCAGAAGGAATTAAGTGATATTCAGATATTGGTTAGAATTCACCTCAAAGCAATTTGCAATGTGTTGTCAAATTCTCATGAAAAAATATACTAGTTGGAGGCATGTACATACCTTGATGGAAAATGTATGTAAGTGTATTATTCATATCCAAAGTCTTGATCAATAGGATAAGAAATATGTTCCCTGCAGTAAGTTCTAAATGATAGCGATAAAATGGTATTTACCCTAGCAATGAGACCCGTCACCAAATAGTGATACTCCCTTGTCTCCTTTTATACCATTTGCTTCAGTTCATAATATACAGCAACAGCATAAAGAGGAAAAGAATTATACGCCATTTTAAGGGATTGTTCACTTGAGCCACAATGTAGGATCAAAGCACATAAAATGTAGATTCAAGGATCAAAATGGACTGGATAAAAAGAGATCAAAGACTTGGCCCCAAAATAGGAATCTCTGAGATGGGTCAGTGGTTGCCAAGGGAACATTGTAATTCTATCTAAACAAGCTGTTCAAGCTCTAGTGTGTTGTTCCCACTTTATTATGGATGTGGGCTTGTCTAGAGCAAAGCAGATCTGAGGTGCTGAGCACCCTCCGCAACCACTGACATCAATATGAGGTGAGGGTACTCTGCACCTCCCAGGAACTGGCCCTAAATTATCAAAGCAAATAAGCCCTGGGACAACAGTACAAGTAAAGGAGAGCAGTGGGATTGGTGATGGTGAAAAATGGTAGGAAGGAATGCTGGAAGAGGTGGGATATAAAGGAGCAGTTGAGGAGAACAACAGCCCATTACAAGCGTAGGTAGGGGCAGCAAGACTGAAGATGCAAAGCTCTTTATTAAGAACTAATGAAGTTCTGTCAGTCGGCATTAGCAGCGTCATACTGTTAACACAGAAACAAACATTGTTTTTGGATCAATACCAATAGAAAGGCTTGTGTTCTGAGTTCAGGCTGGAGGATAGTAATTCATGAGTTCTGATCTTGGTTCTGACTCTGACTTCATCTGGGTCCTTGGACACATAAGAAGAAAGGTCTCTTCTTCAGATTTCACAGGTATAAAATGGAGATAACAGGGACAGAGTCTCCAGTCTGCTTTACATGGCACAAAGAGAACTTGGAGCATCCAGAGATTGTCTCACATAAGAGGAGGCAGGGGGCCTGGTGAAGTAGCGAAGGGATGAGGAGAAGATGAAACGTGCAGCTTCAACTTACACCAGGACCAGTTGGCTGAGACTGGAGAAGTTATGATCAGGTCCTCATCAGCCTCCTCTCTTAAGCACAGTGGAGAATCAAGCTAAATAATATTTAGTTACCCATCTAATTGAAGTGTTTATCTAAGTTTGTCAAGCACTTTGAAGCTGAAGTCCAGTTTAAAATATTATTATTACTGTCACGCTGTCTGGAGTGGCTCATGATCAAGAATGCCAACCTCAGTGCAGACTGACAAAAGCAGGGCAGACACCCCGAACTGGTGGTATGTTCTATAATTAGATTTCACCAACCAGTTACAAATGTGAACTCCTGGATCACTGTAACAGTCTTACCATGTAGTTCCAGACAGTCTCCATGTAGTCTCCAGACAGGCTGGACTTAGTGATAATTGGTCACTTACACCAAAAATCATAAAATATTCAGGTTGCTCCCAGTCCCAAGAGACCAGTCACTTCCCCAGGCCAGTTTGTACCCAAGATCTCATACCAAAGAGAACACTGGTAGCCAATCCCATAGTAAACTAATTAAGGATTTATTAACTAGGAAAAAGAAATGAGAGTTGTTTACAAGTTAAAACAGGTAGTATATATCCACAAATGAGTTCAGTCTGTGGTTCCAAAAGGTGACAGAAATGTAGGAATCTGTCAGCACTGAATGTCTTTTTAGAGCTAAGCCAAATTGTCCCTGGGGATCTCAGCTTTTTTTATTTCTTAGCTCCAGCCCTTGCAAGAGTTCAAATAGCAAAGAGATAAAAATCTTCCTGTCTGCAATCTTTATTTCCCTCTTTCTGAATTCAAGCGGATGGGATGTGCTTTCTTGCACCTAGCACCTTTGTGGGTGTAAGAGGGCCATTAAACCAATCCGTGCATTGTGATGTTCCACAATGGTCCATTTAGCCTTGATAGTTCTTCTGCATGGGCAGGGGAACCACTTTTCCTGCCTTGGTTCACAAGTTCAGAGCAGGCAATTTTACAATTTTAAACCAAACCTTATATACTACTTTATAGCATGGGATACAGACATCACAAGTAAGATTACTGCATGTAGCAACTTACAAGCATTTTATAGAGATTAAACACATTCTTAGAAGTTTAACAACCATCTTGATCAATATTAACATACAGGTGAGCTGGTCCGGTTTCTAGCTACGAATTTGGCTCAGCTGACACCTACAGCCTTAGCAAGGGCTGGCACCTGGTTTACCAGCATCACAATCATTATCGTTATTATTATCAAAATGATCTTAACTGACAAGGTTATCCTGGTCTCTTTGAAATCAATGGGGGTTTTGCCGTTGACTTCTGTGAAACCAGAACTTGCCTCACTTAGTACCAATAGCCTGTCTGAATCTTTGATGGTAGACCTTTGTAAATCAAAAATGCTACTTATCCTGCTGTATTTATGATCATGTAAATACCACAGTTTGCCAATTAATGTTTCGGAATTTGCTTAAGGTAGTATAGTACATGTCCATAGGAATGGTCATACCAGATGAGATCTTGTATCTTGGCTCCAATATCCTGCTTTAAACACACAGCATCAATCCTTGATGCTCTTTTAGTAAATGATGATACCTGGCGTGAGCCTACTTACAAATGTGTTCCAAGGGGTGTAAAGGTGTGTAAAGGTATGGCTTATCATGACCAGACTCCTTTTGTTTTCTGTCTTCCTGCCTGCCACTCACCCCTAAAACCTGAGATTTCAGATACCAGCTCACAGGTCCGTTCTAGTCGTGTTATAAAAGCTTTTCACCGAGAGAATCGGTATGAAAAGTTAATTGACTTAAATGGCTAAAAAGTTGAGTGTAAACCTAGTCCATTTTCTGCTACGCCATGAGAGATTTGGTAACAACACCATAGATCTAGATCCCTGGTGGATTGGGCTGTCATTGAGATAGCATCTGCAAATCTATTGGGAGGCCTGTAGTCACAATGGTCTCTTAGTATGAATTTCTGGCTGATTTACAGAGCTCCAGACCTGGAGGAGGCTGTTTGTTTTTCCTGAAGTGAAGAGAGTTAGACACTCTACAAACAACTTCATATGCATGTGGTGGGATGTGAACGATGACTGGGCTAGAGATCCCAAGTAAAAAGATACGTGTTAATACTTATATATGCAATGTAGGAATGCATAAAGAATAAAGTGAAGTGCCTTTCTTTAGTTGCTGCACCTGCAGAATTTGTAAGTAGAGAAAGGAGATGCTAATGAACATCTTATTCTGCTTCTGGCCAGCCACAGAATGTTTTGCTCTGATAATTTTTGCCTTAAACCTAACTGTACTACAGAGCTCTATACACTAAGGACTGTACAGTGTACACACACTTACCTGGTTAGCTCAATACTAAGCATCACAGCAAGATTACCTCCTTTGCAAAATCCGGGTCTAACAATGTCCTTTTATTTTCATTGTGAGGGATGCTTTTCATAATTCAGATTATTTTGCATGTGAATAGCAGTTATGTGAAGATCTTCAAGCTCTTTACAAACACTAATTAAGTATGCCTCTCTGGAGGTAGGTGATGCAATTCTGTCCACCAACTTGAGGGGAAGCTTCTACCAGCACCTGCTCGTGTCCTGGCGTGCAGCTCCATCCCAGACCTTCCAGTGAATCCTTCAGTTCGCCTTCTCTCCCCCCTGCCTGCTCTACAGTGCTCTCCTTCTTCCTGGGAGCAGAAGTTTCCCATCTGCTCTCCTCCTCTAACCTTCCACTTGCCCCAGTAACCCAATCCCTTCCCATCTCCTGATCT